GGCCAATTTTGTAGTTTTCAACGTTCTAAAGATTCTATCGAAATAACTGATAATTTGTAATCGCCTTCCTAAAATAATCAATGAAATCGAAATACTTGAGAGACGAATCGTTGCATCTTGAATCATTCTATTTGAATTTCTAGTTAATTTTGTTCTTTCTGTAGACCATTGTATTCATTTTGAGTTTTGTAAAGTGTTCTCATCATAAAATACCCTACATTTTAAATAATAAAAATAAAGATAATTATCTTGACTGCAGCAAAAACAGTATCCCTAAGGTTTATTACAGTTTGATTCAAATACAGGTACCTGGCTAACTCACCACTACACAATGAAGTTTTATTCATCAGATTTGATAGTACACAATAAGCGATCAAAATACATCATACATTATACCTCTGAAACTGAAATAAAATTATTTATTTTAAACTGATGCAGTATGTAGAGTTTGAGAAAATTTCTCAATAGAGCTTAATTAAGGTTGAAGTTTTTTAAATACTAAAATATATCAAAGCGAATCTCTTAATGGATAAAATAACTAATTAGTTTAAGTATTTTATGGAAAGCGTAATTTTGTATCTCAAATAGGGAAAATCACTAAAATTGAAAAAGCAATTTAAAACCGTTTTCTTCCGTTTTTCGTCTTATCAATCGTATACATCGACAACTTGACATTTCGGCTTTTGTGATGAGCAAGATACTTTTAAATTAATTTAGAGACCACATCTACATATGCGAAGGATTAGATTATGATTAATCAGTCTAAATTTATAGTGATCGGCATCACACCTTTCTTCATATCACAAATAAGGTTAATGATATTCATAGATAAATAATCTTAAATTGAAAGCAAAACACATTTTTAAATTGAACAGATTTCCATCAATCAACTATCTAAACATCAGTTCACTAATTTGCTATAATAATTGACCTTTTTTATTTGATACGATAAACAATAGACAGATTAGTTAACAGTTATTATCTATGGTCATAATGTCAACAAACAGTGAATGTTTAATTGTTTTTGAAGACGAGCCAAATGAATTTCATATTATATATATATATATATATATATATATATATATATATATATATGCAAACAATTAAATGTTCACCATTTGTTGATATTGTAACAATGTTAAACAACTGTTAATTATTTCATCTATTATATATATAATTGCTATTGAGTTTTATGTTACTTTTACTCAATTCGTTTCGTTGTGTGACCTAATTTATATTGTTTTTGCACTGCCGAACGAAACGTGAATAAAAGTTCACTATGCAGTTTATCCTTCTCTTGAGTTTTTTTTCCTGTACAGTTCTATGGTTGACCTTTATTATTCATTTGTTTTCATATAGTTTTACTTTTTATTATTTTTTGTTATTTATTAAATTCCTTATAATTCGTTGAATTGCTCGAGAACCGTTTCAATTGCTTAAACCCATGAACACTAACATTTATATTAAAATTATAGATAATAATGAATAATTAAAATGTATACGAACAACTTTCAAACAAATTCACATGAAAAGAGTTACGGTCTGTCAATCATAAGGTATATAATTATCTTGAGATGGAGTATTCAAGAAAGTGTTGTATTGTAATTTCTCTAGATTGATACACAAAAATTTCTCTTTTTTACTTCCAGCACTACATACTAGTCACATACATTGTAAATATTAAGCTTGATCATTAGTTAGGAAACAATTTTGCCTTAACACATACTCTGTCGTTTTTCAAGCACACCAGCATCATAGTTGTACCAACTATCGCACTTTGATCTTATTTGCTTTATTTACAAACGAGTACATGGAAATGATAGGTTAAAACGTGTTTGCTATGATTTCTGCAGATTCTCGTACAAAAGCGAATGCAAAAATAACCTGTTATTACTCTTGTTTGTATAACACTTTTTTTCTTGATACAGAGTACGTACACAACACTAGCAGTTGTTCATAAGTTGCTGATTAGCTGCAACTTGTGTAAGCCTCCTTCAGTCGTACATTTAATTGTTACCAATATTGATAATTAATTTCATACAGTGTTTCTGAGAGATTTGAAACATAGATTTGACCAACATAAAATTGTTCATTAGAAGGGAACAGTTCTTTCATCATCAAAATATTCAACCAACACAATCAAATGTTAATAATTTTCTCTGTGATTTCATTTACAAATTATAAAAGTAGTATAAGTCTACATTTATAAAAGCTTCAAAATATGTTATAAATAAAAATGAACCCAGTTACTATAATTTATCCTGCTTAATATCACTATTCCCAAATCAAATAATAATCAAGGAGTTAGGAAATATATTCTAACTCTGTTATGTATCAGTAAGATAATTTATTGATTTTCCTTCTGAATCAAAAAACGATGGTTGTAGACTTTTCATGTTCAGTAAAATTGCACATAATATTTGTCAGCTAGACTCGCTATATCAATTAAAGAAATTTAACTAATTAATTTAAACTCGTTGTACTCTTTTAAACTTCATACAGAAATCTAATGTGAATACATAGTCTGAAAATCGTAATTGCTGTGAGTAAGCTTTAGTAACTGATTTTTTTCAATGACTATTACCCAACATAAGTGTAGTAGTATATAATAACATATTCTTAAGATTTAAATACATCTTGTATTTATTGGATTTTGAATAATTTATCAACAGAAGAACAGTTCTGATTCTCTGATCATACATTCTTTGATGTTGAATGTTTTATTTCATTGTGCTACTTTTTTCAATAAATAAAGTCAGCAGATAAAAGAAAAAATTCACTTAATTACTTTTATTTCATCTCAATAACACTTATTATTTAGTAGTGTATACAAATATATAAAGTATGCTGTTAATTTAGGATGAATATGCTTTTACAAATAATATTTTTGGTTTCATGTTTAATTTTATGACAAGAGATATTGTACCTGGTTGGGTTAACTCACTACTCAGTGAAAGTTGTTTGAAATGACATGGAAATTTAAAATACTGTTTACTTCTAATTTGGAATATTATGCAATTTTTTTTCATTATAAACCTTATTGATATGAAGATTTTCCTTACAACACCTATCATAAACTTCAGTGATTGGGACTTTATTGAAAAAAACTGTTTCACTTGTTTTAAATAAACAAATTTCTCTTAGGATAACGAATTCAAATGAAGTTATCAAGGATTGAAAGCAGTTTAAGAACTACAGAAAACTTTATAGAACTGAATATCTGGTTTGGTCTAGTTTGTGCATCTGTAGCAGGGACTACTTATAATCCCAGAAAGAAATCTAACTCAGGTCCTTCGGATTTCGTAGTAAGCATAAAACATGTTGACTACTAATTTGAAATTCGCTTATCCTCATTACTACTTTAATCACGACAATATGATTTAACAGTTATCTAATACTACAAAGGATGTTTATCTTATGCTCAATACGGTCAATGTTAGTTTATGAAGGCAACCAAATTCAAACCATGTAATTGTAACAAGCACAGTCCTTTAAATTTTTTGATATTTGGTGATTTTTGGAATACTTGTTTCAATAGTATTCTGTTTTCACTGTTTCATGATAGATTAACTTTATTCAGCATCATTTCAGTGTTTTGATCTTTTATAAAAGGGAAATAATTTCGATGGATATTTATATTGACCAGTAAAAGTTGATTTGACTTTTTTTAATTAAACAGTTTAAAGGCATGGTAGTTTTTAAGTTTGTTATCAATTAATTTCATTGAAAAACAAACAGTTGAGATAAACATTTTAAGTTAAACTAGATTCCTTTTACATGTTTTAAGCCGTGTTACATACTTTGAGTGTTTACTATGTGTTGACAACGTTAAGAAAATTTATCCAACACAACGATAACAATATCAAGTATATATTTATATTCTGTTTACTTACAATATAAAATCATGATATCATTAGCATTTATGGTTAAAACATTCAATTTGTATTTAAAAAACAAGTATAGTTGCGCGTATTAATTAAGTTCTATCCACAATGATTGTTTGAATGTTCTATGAAAATGTTAATCGTAAATTATATATACACATATATATGTAGACATGTCATTGTGATTAAATATTTAGATCTTAAGGATGAAAACATTTAGATAATTAATAGAATTAGTTTTGTTTTTGTTTTACTTGTCCACCGATCAACATTTGTGAGATCTATGAAAAAGAATTTCATTTAAATAACGACGGTTTATTTTATTCAATTTAGCATTTGTTGTCAATTTACTGATCGCAATGATATTGTCTATTTCAGTGAAAGTTTTACCGATGTACAATAGGTAGGATTATGAAAATCTACTTGAATTTCCATAGCTAACAAAATGCGTGCAACAAACTAAAATTTCCTCAAGATGTGTCTAATGGTTCCCTTTAAATAGGTTTAATTATAAGGCTAATTAAAGAACTAAAATCTCTAACTATCGATCTTACTGCTCAAGTTGCATTAGAGTGCGTGAATGAGAGAGTTTTGTTGTCAAAGGCATGAATGAAATGTAGGATACTTCGAGCATGTCGAAAGTAAATATAAGGGTATATGGTATCTGCTTTACATCTTTGTTATGAAAAACGGTACCTGGATATTGCAGAAATATTGAACACACAAGTAGATGCGCTTCAAATTTTTGAACATATATCCCCTATCCTGACTTCTTGTAGTTTACATCGCAAGCTGATCATTGTTAGACAATCTCTAAAAAGCAAGAATTACTACTTAGCTGTCTCATCTTATAACGGGATTCCGCAACCGTCCGCACCAAAGAACCTACCGATGATCGAATCCATGAGGTTCAGTGTCGTTGCGAGCTCTTAAATAATGAACCACTATTTAACTTTTTTCAGAATTTCACCTTTGTTACTATCAAAACTTTCTCAAAACTATATGAACCTTTATTTTACAGGCTGAATGATCAGATATCGGTAGTCCAGTAAAAAACAAGCATTAATACAAAGGATGAAGGTTCTATTCTTCATTCTGATTTATCTGTTTATTCAGATAAGACATGTGTGCTTGTTATTAACTGCTCAATTTACCATATTGGAAGAACTACCTATTAACACTGTCATTGGTAATTTAACGTCGAAACTACCAGTTACGCTTCAAATGGAAATACAACAACTTCGCTTCCGTATTATTACTGGTGAATATTCAAAATATTTTTCTGTTAATGTAAAAACTGGTTTGATACAAATTAACGAACGATTAGATTATGAGAACATTTGTCCAAAAGCATTATTTCATTCCAATTCTAATAGTCATGATGATGCCACAAATTTTGATTCTCTGTGTCAAATCATAATGAATATTAATGTTTTGCGAGTAATGAATTCTGGTGTTGATATAGTCGAAGTAATACATTTGATCATTATAATTCAAGATATTGACGATAATGTTTGTAAATTTCTACCGACAAACAAACAAGAAATTTTTGTGATGGAAAATTTATTAAATCAAACAAATATGATAAAAGTCCCTCTTTATCAGTTAGTGGATTTAGATGTGGGACCTGATAATGGAATTAACCGATCTAGTATAAAACTGCAACTTGATCCAAAGTCTAATGTTTCTTCAAATGAAATTTTTGATTTAATTTTAACAAATACAAGTTCAAAGGTTGCTCCTTATGCCCTCTTCCTACTGATTAAGCAATCACTAGATTACGAAAGCGTTCAAGAATTCAAAATGACTATTGTTGCTAGCAGTTCAACGACCAAGCCAAAATCAGCGATTTTGACTAGTGACTTTAGCAGTTATGTTGAAGATTTAAATACAGAAAAGCCTAATAAATGTTTCCTTGATATTATTGTACATGTTATTGATATGAATGATCATCCTCCCACATTTCTTCATAAAAATGCACATCTGTCTATTTTGGAGAGTACTGAAACAAACAAGCCAATATATACAGCGAAAGCAAGCGATTTAGATGCGGGTCCAATACACAGTCAACTAATATTTGAATTGAGCTTTAGAAATTCGCCTTATATCGTTTCACATTTCTATATTAATCCTAAAAACGGTTCGTTATTTTTAAAACAAAGATTAGACTATAAAGAAAGGGCGAAAATGAATATTTTAATTACAGTAAGAAATCCAAGAACTGAAGAGATTGATAATAAGACAACGAATAATAGTTTAAATCCTGACGTATTTGACAAACACCACTACTACAAGTCATTATTAAGCAATACTGATTCCAGTATAGTTGATAATTCACTACATGATACAATGGAATTATTCATTCAAGTTATTGACGTGAATAATCATAAACCAGTCATCTCTGTATATACATCGAATGGTAGTCCTGAATTGGTAATACAAGAACATTTACCAGCTTCAATATTTCCAGTCGATTTTGCTTTGGTCAGTGTAACTGATGATGACAGTGGACGTAATGGCCAGGCTAAATGTGAACTAGATAGAAATTCATCTGATTTTTTTAAATTAACATTAATTGGTTATGAGTCAAATAGTGATAGATTGATGACTAATAATTATGATAGCGATCAGTTCCCTGACATACATTCTAATGATTTAATTATTTATAAAATGTCAGCAGTTGTTTCATTCGATCGTGAAGAAAATGCTACAGTCTATGCAACGATCAGGTGTACAGATCTAGGAAGTAATCCATTGATTACAGAATATGTAGCACAAATACATATAACAGATATTAATGATCACGAACCGAAATTTCCACAAACTAATGAATACATAAAAGTAATGGAAGACAGTGATCCTTTAAGGAGTGAAATCAATTATTATGTCACACAGTTAGGGGCAACAGATTCAGACAGTGGTAAAAATGCAGAAATCATTTATTACATTGTGGAAGAATCTGTTCAGAATATTATACAAATCAATGAAACGAATGGTATAATACAAACAACTGGTCAGTTAGATAGAGAAATGAATGCTTCATTTAGTTTTACGGTTGTTGCTAAAGATTCCGGTGAAGTGAGTAGATCAAGTTCAGTGTATATTCACATCGCTGTGCAAGATTATAATGATGAATATCCTGAATTTGACAGGAAGATATATGAATTTTCTATTTATGAAAATTCTGTACAAGGTTATTATATTGATACTATTACTGTAACCGATAAAGATATTGGTATAAATAGTCAATTGAAATTTTATCTAACCTATGAAAAAGATGAAAATATAACCTATTCAAACAATGATTATTCCTATTATTCCAATTATCAAGAATTACGATTTTCATCATTGAAAAAAGCAATACCATTTAAAATTACATCAAAACGTTTAAATAATCAACATAATTATGAATTGAATTTATTTACTGATGGTAAAATAGATCGTGAAGAGTTGGTGAGATTAAATCAGCGTAAATTAAAAACAACAGCCTATGAATATTTGAATACTGGAAGTGATATTATAAACTATCGTAATAAGACCAATCACAAATATAAGGAATTGTCACGTTACAGACTGATATTAACGGCAGAAGACTTTGGAGTACCGAAACGAATTGCTACTGCACTTATTTATATTAATGTAATGGATGTAAATGATGAAGCACCGATTTTTATCAACCCAATCCAAGAGGATATGATTTACACGATTTCAATTAATGAAGTACCAGGTTATCAAATTTTAACGGTAAGTGACTTTTATGTGTAGGATTTATGACCGCTAACTGTTTGTAATCAAAGCAAATCTGACCTGTGTTTTAATCATTTAAAAACACATTTTGATTTGAAGCAGATATTATAATCGGAAAATATTTGAATTCATGAACCTATTAACTTAGTTAAAACTTATTGTGTTTGCAAGATTCAGTATCTAAAATCACAGTGGTAAGACTAAACGCTAAGATTAAAACGTATAAAATGGAACAAAATATATTGACATACATAGTGAAAAAGTTAAACATAGTGATATCAATCTAAACTCCAGGTGTGGAACCCGTAAATACCTACACTAAGTTTTACACCTGTATAAGTGATCTAAGCACTTTAAGTAATCCATCAAAATCGTTTCAGACACAAGTTGATGTAGTTAATCTCTAATAATATTGAGATTATTTTGATCTAACCATTAGACAATATCGAATTGTTGCAAATTGTTTCTAAATGTAAATTTGTAAAATTGTATACCTTCATATTTCTTCCAATGATAAGGTACATATTAATGAAGTGTATTAAATTCAGAAAGAGAGTTAGATAAAAAGAACATTTTCAATGCCCGTTAGTCTTCTTGGAGTATAGACAAATGACCAGTCTTCTCCAACCAACTCTATCCTGAGCTATCTTTTACAATAGTTCCTAAGTAATGTTCATCCCTTTGATATTCGCCTCTGAATCCCTGGGCAATGTGTTTTTACACTTCTCCTGCGTTTGCTTTGAGAATTTCAAGTTTAAGTTTGCATTAGGAGGCAGTTTGGTTGTTTCTATAATGTGGGTGTTATTCTAATACAACGTTTTATTTGATTTCTTTCATAGCTCGAAGCTGGCTTGTTCTTTACCACGATATGTTGCTGCTAATGGTGTCTGTTGAACAGATCTGAAGTATCTTATGCAGATAACTGCTTCAACTTTGCTGTCCGTTTTCGATGATGGTTGTAAAAGTTCTCCAAGTCCAGGCTACTTAAAATAAAACTGTCTTGATATTTGTATTGAAAATTCTGAAGTTGGGGTAGACTGAACTTTCCTCTTCTGATTATAATTTATTTATCAATCTTCAAGATCAACATATAATAGGAAGGGGGAGGCTCAGCGTGATCAGATAAAAGTTTTAAATTGATATTAACTGCGATCAGAAGACCGACAAAAGGACCACCTAAGCATCACTCAAACCAACAATACAAGTATGTTTGGGATACGGTTCTTAACCACGGAATGCAAAATTCTGCTTCAGGATCAGGTTACATAGGAAGAAAGCTAGGGGTAGTCAAATAAAAACATGATAACACTGCATGAAGTCACAGGCGATTGGAGTGAGCCATGTTAATAGGTTTAGACCACCTGTCTAGTGTCCCCGACATGATAGTAACCGATGGTTGGAGACCCTGAATAACATGGCTCAAAATCGGTTGTTATGGTACTGATACATCCATTCTTTTTGATCTCTCGAATCCAAATCTCATCATCTTTATCTTTCTCGTTTAGAGCTTATTCTACTGGATTGTACTTCGTTAATCATATCTTGTAACCCTAATCTCCCCAATTACTGCTAAAAATCGTCTACCTCTACTACTACCGGATTAGAATAGAAAATCGTTCCTGTGATAATGTGATATGGCAACTTGAACTGATGTAAGGTACGCGCGAAGTTCTAATTTGTAACTGACTGACCGACTCATAGCATAGCAGTGGGACGCCTTTCAGTCAACTAATAGCAGATTGTTTCATGTCGAATCTGGAAAATAGTGAACTCAACTGTTTACAACTTCCACTTGTATAAAATGTACATTGACAATATCTTTATCATTTGTGACAGTGTGACTTGAATCATCAAAAGACGTTTAACAGCTGCCATGCTGCAATAAATTTAACGTTATTAGTTGAAAACACAAAATATTCACTTTCTCGATGTCGAAATGACAACAAATCACGATGGAACTCCAAGGTGATGTAACTAAAGGAAACCCTTATGGGATCTGTTCATGTTTAGTTGGATGTATAGTTTGTTTGATGTGCATTTTATCCAAAAGGATTTGAAAACAATATCTGGATTGGTTGAAGAGGTGGAAACAGGTTCATGAGAAGCTCAGTAATCGAACACCTAGTGAACACATGTCATTTTACGTTTGTATAACACCTTGTTGTTTACCAACAAGAGTAGGAGCGGATTCGAATTGCTTTCAATGTTTGTGACACCCGATTGTAATCTAATCTTCCAAAACACAGACTACATTCATATATACCAATCTTCAGTTATTCATATTTAGTTTATGTTGCCTGTATGTTACCAAACTTATTCTAACGCTGTACTTTCATACTTTATGTCCAAAGAAGATTAAATATGATTATCATTTTCTTTTTCAAAATGTTTCGTTTTTACTTTAAAGTACTACTTTCATTTAGTTTGAGAATCCAAATATTTGTTAACTAATATTTACAGCCCCATTTACAATTATAGGCAAACTGTTTGTGTACTAGAACATAACTACGAAACATCAATTACACTCATGATCACGTTTGATTAAAAGCACTGATGGTTTCTCAATCAGCTTGAAAATATTGGGGTTCAATATATCTGAAAATTACTAGAACTAAAACAACTATCACCGCAAAACTTCCTAAGCTTTCCAACTGTCTTTAAGAACCAGAATATTTTGCAATTACAAAACCAGAGTGTAAATAATTGCCGTCTTTTTTAAATTTTGTCTAGTTTAAAGCCAATGATCCAGACGAAGGCTCAAATTCTGAAATTAAATATTCTTTAATTGAATCCATTCAAGAGTATTCACATATTGGAAATGGAAGTTCATCAACTTGTAAAAATTTAAATCGTAAATCAGTAATCCACCATAATCAATCATGTAATCTATTAGAATATCTTTATTTAAATCAAACTACTGGCAGTTTATTTCTATTAAAACAATTACCGAATCATTTATCAAATGCTACATGTCGTCTGTGCGTTATAGCTTCAGATGTGGGTATACCTCCATTATATTCAACACGTTACTTTTGTCTACATTTAATGAATAATATAGAATCATCACAATTGAAATGGATATCCTTACAGACGAATAACAATGGTTACTCATTAATATACATATATACGGTCTCAGGAACAATTGGTATAAGTTTAACTCTGTCCGTGATATTTTTGTGCATAGCATTTACTGTATGGAAGTATCCTAAATTGAAACTAAAATCAAATGTTATCAAAGAAACCATGTCTTCTAGTGATAACCAAATATCAAAAATTCACTGTGTAGCTGGAAAATCAACTAACAAAGGTAAATTATTTAATTGATATTGAAACTCGTATTTAATGGTGAAACACTTTATTTTGACTAATATATACACTCCAGTCCAAAATATATGATAGTGATCTGTTGATAAAGTAAGTAACACTTAGTGAAGGAAAATTCTATCTTACTACTATATTAAGAATTGGCTAATAGGGAGACAAATTTTTTACAAGTGCAACTATGTGATATTTTTGTGTCATAATAAACTGAATTATGACTAATTTAAAAAGATCTTCATTGAGAAGAGCTGTAATTTTCCATGGCGAAGCTGAGGTCCTTCACAAATCACGAGGTCGATGCTCCCTCTGAAAGCCAGAGTAACAACTAACATGGTTACATAATGTGCGGCCGTTGGGACTATTCAAACATCTGCGAAAATCAGAGGATACAACATGGTAGAGTTTGAAAAGAGTTAAACCCATTGAGCACAAACTGGGCACAGAAGCAAAATGAGAATGGAAAGAACTTATATAAGAATATTAAGAAATCAGGATCATCAAAGCACCCTTCAAGACAAAAAAGGAAGGGATTACAGTGAATATCATCAAATGCTATGCTCTTACCAATGATAGAAACGACGATAATCAAGATTAGTTCGATGAGCGGTTACAGTTCATCCTAGTGATATACCCAACAATGGATTTGACTATTCTAATGGGAGATCTAAAGATCAAAGTGAGAATGGACAACATCGAAGATGAAGATATTATGAAACTACATGAACCCAGAGAAAGGGACAAAAATGTTGAGAAATTTGCAAACCTATGTGCCTTCAACAGCATGATGAAAGGCTGCACCATTTCCTCCACAAATTCATGCCCGAAACTAAATGAGTTTCACTGGACCGCATTATGGAGAACCAGATTGACTATATATGCATCAATATAAAGTTCATACGGTTCGTGGATTTGAGGCCAAAGATAGGAGCCGACACAGCTTCAGATCACCACCTGGTAGTGACCAAGACGAATCTGAAGCTAAAGAAGCACTAGACGACTGCAGAGACAACATTATAAAATTGTAATACAGCCTTTTTCAGGGTACGTACAAACTCTATGAATTCAGGATAGCTCTCAGCAATAAATTATAAGCTTAACAAGATTTAGTTAAGGAAACGGAAAACACTTTACAGAAAATCTGAGAAGCGATCAAAGAAGCTACAATTTCAACATTCCAGATGCTGGACCACAAGAAGCAACACCTTAAAGAATGTATCCGTTGAAAGTCTGAACAAGGTTTAAAGAAGAAAAAAGAAGACGATGGTTATCAAAATTCGAACGAGGGCTGAGAAATCCAAAGCACGAGCCTAATACACAGAAGTAAACAATCAAATGAAGAGGAGCATTAAAGCCAATAAGCTGAAATATATGGAAAACCTAGTAATGAAAGCAGAAAAATGCTGCAAAAAAAAGTATAAGAGCTATATAATACAATGAGGAAGCTTGCAGGGCGATATTGTAAATCAGAACGATCAGTCAAGATCTAGGATGGCTAAGTGATCATTGAGATCCAAGAACAAGTGTGTAGAGCACCTTGAAGGACTCCGGAAATGATTAGCCTTACTGAACCACATTTTAGAAATAAACATTGAGTTCGCGGTTGTTTTCAGAGATGGACTTATTTTCCTGAATCATGGAGTTCCTTTTGCAAAACTTAAGTGCGAACAACCACTGTTTGTTCTATGGCTCTGAAGTTTTTGATACACTGAGTCACAACGGTATTCATCTCATCTTTTGAAAATCATAGAGAATTTATTAGTGCGGTGACCTTACCTCATTACCTTTATAGTATGGGATTCACAATATTCAGCTAAATAAACAACTCTCTACTAGTAACATCATGAAATGCGTTAGTTATTTCCATAACTAATTGTAGTTTTGCTATAACTAACCAATCGAATTGTAGTTTAGGAGTTCACCACCTGATCTGGTCTGACGTGTCGTAAATGACCTAATAATTGAAGGACTTTATTATCTTATTATTATTGATGTGACTAATAGTTTTATTCATTTCCATAAGACACGCTATATTGGTCGGTATGTTTGCTCGCTTAACTTGGTAACTGTAATTTCCTTATTTATTGTACTAATCTAATTGTTTTTATGTTTAGAAACAGGTAAATTTTAAAACCAAATTCGTCTGGTGTTTGACGATAGTTTTCCCACAAACTCTGTGCTCGCCAATATTGCGTTTACAGTTCTAGAAGTACATCTGTAGGACAAATTAAATCCCACAAGATGTTCACTCTCATTTGATTATTATTTTTACTGAAGGTTAACGTGATATAGCTTGAAGGTTTTGAACTCAAATACTTATAGTCAGTGGCACACACTCAAACGTGAAAGAAATAGTTGATACCGATTCTTGAAAATTATAATCAGATGTATTATTTACGAGAAACTATTCACTGAACAAGTATTAGAAATCCAGGAATTCGATCAACTGGTTTACTCATGAATTTTTATTACCATGTGATAACACTTTGCTACGAGACACAAATTATTGTCCTTGTTTAACTGAAAGTTACTGAGATTACGAAATGATCCAATAAAGACAACATTCTAAAACATGGGGCCAGTAGACAACCGTATTGTCCTAGTATAGTACTTCTCAGAAGTACATATGCACGACCATAAGATCGGAAAGCAGAATGTTAATCTACGAATCAGTAGATCGAAATTCAATGACTGAATTCCCCATTATCAATCAGCTGTTGATAAAAATTTTGCTGAACATAGTACTGGTAAGGCAAATTAGATAAAGGTATAAAACGTTATTTTAATTAAGGGGATTAATAATGATGTTGTTGCTGAGGGCTTGAATATTCATCACGAAGGTTGATAAAGATATTATAATCAAAAAAGGAAGACTCAGTATGATCAGATAAAATGTTGAAACTGAGATGAACCGTAACTAGGAGAATCACGGAAACAGAAATAAGCTGGGGGGTTAAAGGTACGTACGTACGAAGTTCTATGTTATTGTTGACTGACTGACTGAAGATGTATGTTAAGTGCTCTTTACTTACGTCTATTACCCCCAATGGGGCATAGGCCGCCAACCAGTATTCTCCGACCTACTTTGTCCTGGGATTCCCTTTCTCGTTCTGTCCAATCTTTGTTCACTCTTCTCATGTCTTTCCCTATTTCTCGTCGTAATGTGTTTCTTGGCCTTCCTCTTTTCCTTTTACCTCGAGGGTTCCATGTGAGGGCTTGTCTCGTGACGCAGTTGGGTGCTTTCCGCAGTGTGTTCTGTCCACTTACAGCACTTCTCCTTGATTTCCTCATCTGCTGAAATACGGCTTGTTCTCTCCCACAGTATGTTGTTGCTAATAGTGTCTGGGAAAAGGATCCGAAGTATTTTGTGTAGACAACTGTTAATGAATACTTGTAATCTTGTGGATGATGGCTTTCGTAGTTCTACAGGTTTCCGACCCATACAGTAGGACTGTCAGGACATTTGTATTGAGAATGCTGATTTAGATGTTGGTTGATAGTTGTTTCAAGTTCCAGATGTTCTTCAATTTTCGAAATGCTGCCCTTGCTTTGCCGATCCGCACCTTCACATATGCATCGGATTCACCTTGGTTGTCAATGATGCTGCCAAGATATGTAAAGATGTTAACGTCCTCCAAAGAATCTCCATCAAGAGTGATTTGGTTGGCGCATGTTGTGTTGTATCGGAGAATTTCGCTTCCCGCTTTGTGTATGTTGAGACCTGATGCTACACTGGTCGTCTTCTCTTGCATTAGTTAATGCATGTACGATAGAAGAGCCAAATCATCTTTAGGGTTCAGATCGTCCAGCTGTGTCCTAGCTGTCCATTGGATACTGTGCTTCCCTCCAGATGTTGACGTCTTCATAATCCAGCCGGTCACTAGGAGAAAGAGAAAGGGTGAGAGTAAGCAACCTTGCCTGACACCGGTCTTCACCTCAGACGAGTCTGTTAGCTGTCGTTCGTCTACGATTTTGCAGTTGAATCCATCATAAGAGTTTCGTATGATGTTGACTATCTTCTTAGTGACTCCGTAGTGCTGAAGAAGCCCCCACAGTATTGTCCTGTCCACGCTATCGAATGCTTTCTTGAAGTTAATGAAGTTGATGTAGAGTAGTGAATTCCATTCAATTGATTGTTCAACAATGATCCGTAATGTTGCAACTCGGTCGGTGCACGATCGATCCTCATGAAATCCAGCCTGTTGGTCTCGAAGTTGGGCGTCTACGAAGTCCTTCATTCTGTTTAACAATACCCTGTTGAAGACTTTGGCTGGTATTGAGAGAAGAGTGATGCCTCTGTAGTTCTCACACTTGCTGAGATCGCCTTTCTTTGGTACTTTGATGAGGTATCCTTCCTTCTAATTTGATGGTACTCGTTCCTCATCCCAAATCTTCTTGAAGAGGATGTGAAGTGTTTTCGCAGTTGCTTCCACGTCTACTTTCATTGCCTCTGCTGTCTGGTCCTACTGCTTTGCCGCTCTTGATTTGTCTGCTGGGCATGCTGATCTATTCAATTGTAGGTGCACCAACATCGATTAGGAGGTCCGTGGATGCTGCTTCGATGTTGGGTGGGTTCAGTCGAGCTGGTCGATTTAGGAGTTCCTGAAAGTGCTCTACCCACCTACTTCGCTGTTCCTCAATGTTGCTGACTACTTTGTCTTCCTTGCTTAACGCTGGTGGTTCCGGTTTACGATGGTTTCCAGCGAGCTTCTTTGTTGTTTCGTACAATTGTCTCGTTTCCTTCTCTTGCAGCATTTTCCGCCGTCATTGCTAAATCTTCTACATATTTTCGTTTGTCAACTCTGATGCTCTTCCTCACTTCCCTGTTTACTTCTGTGTATGTAGCTTGTGCGGTAACATTCTCTGCTCTTGTTCGGCTGACATTGATTGCTGCCTTCTTGTTCCCCCTTTCTTCAATTTTTTCAAGAGTACCAACACAGATCCATTCTCTGTCATGGTACTTCTTGTAGCCCGGAACCTCATGACATGTTGAAGTGACTGTCCTTCAGAACTACTTATTGATATAGATATGATTGATTTGGTTCTGTGTGGTGTGATCCGGTGAAATCCCTGTAACTTGTGTATGCGTTTGTGTAGAAATTATGTGCCCCCTATGACCAGTTTGTTGAAGGCACATAGGTGTAAGAAGCTCTCACCCTTTTCGTTCCTTTTTCCCAGTCGATGTCGTCCTATGATGTCTTTATGAGGTGTCATAACCTTCTAAATGAAGATCTAACTAACAGGTCAGATTTTAAATAGTTTGAATTATTTTCCTGGTTAGCCTTTTTTGACAAGTTAGTTTCCTACGGAATGGGGTCATTAACATCACGCCCAACCCTCCTTCTTTATCAAGGCTGCGCATGGCAGTAGCCTCAGAGGGGCTCAGAGCGGAGATTCGGTAAGTGATTCATCAAAGCTAAAATGACGGAAGCCAACCGCAGCTTTCTGCTCACCTTATAATTGACTATGAACACAGAATACCGTTTGAGTGGATGAGCTGTTTTTGGTGGCCAGTTTCAACGTGTTCTTAGTCTTCGTAATTAGCTCGTCTAGGCAATTATCACCAAAGAGCGCCTGACGGTTTATAAATCAGAAGGTAAATACGGAGTATCGAATTCGTTTATTTTTAGCACACCACAAAATAGAACAGCGAACCACAAGCAGACAGGGCAGACACACTAGCGGGCGAATGTACGAATGAATCGATGAAGCGAATGGGAGTTGGCTCACTAACCTTCTACACTTCGAGTTCACCTTCTGATTAATAAACCGTCAGACGCTACTTAGTAAAGGTAGACTGGACGAGCTAATTACGAAGTATAAGAACACGTTGAAACCGGCCACCACATGTTCACAAGGTGTCCGATTATTGAGCTTCTCATGAACCTGTTTCCACCTCTTCAACCAATCCAGATATTGTTTTCAAATCCTTTTGGATAAAATGCACATCAAACAAACTATACATCCAACTAAACATGAACAGATCCCATAAGGGTTTCCTGTAGTTACATCACCTTGGAGTTCCATCGTGATTTGTTGTCATTTCGACATCGAGAAAGTGAATATTTTGTGTTTTCAACTAATAACGTTAAATTTATTGCAGCATGGCAGCTGTTAAACGTCTTTTGATGATTCAAGTCACACTGTCACAAATGATAAAGATATTGTCAATGTACATTTTATACAAGTGGAAGTTGTAAACAGTTGAGTTCACTATTTTCCAGATTCGACATGAAACAATCTGCTATTAGTTGACCAAAAGGTAGATCTCGTTTTTTCTGTCTTCTGATTACAGTTCATCCTAAGTTCAACATTTTTTCGGATAGCGCTGAGCCTTCATTTTCCGATTATAATTTCTTTATCAAGGCCTCAGCGACATCATTACTAATCCCCTTAATCAACATAACGTTTTATATTGACAGTTTACTGAATAAATTATCTTTCTTAACGCATCACATTATCACTATGCCTATTTTTTTTTTTCACACAGAGACATACAATAACATTATATGCACGGAAAATGAATTGGCTAACGTGAGCTTCAATCATCTAACAAACAACCCATTATATTTCGATAGAAATGATTATAACCAATATTCAATTGAAAACCGACACCCTCGCAATTCTTTGCAACAACTAGTCCTTGAATCACTTCAAACTAGTAATCATTATAATGACGATACCTCGAAAAAACCACATCATGAACAGAATATTTATTTAAATCCTAATTACACTTTAAATTATTCATCATTACCTCAAGAATAGAAAATTTACTATGGAATTAAGCGTAATTTTAGAAATGGCAGTACATATTACATAATCATACGGGAGAAATGACAATATTCATCCTGCCTTCGAACGTATTTCGAACGAAGAACACATGTATACTTAAAAAATATCAGAAAAAAAGTTATTCACTTGTGAGACTGTCATAAAATCTGTCACTAAACTAGTTAAACGATGAACTAGTTATTTAGAAATTAAATCGTGAACTTAACCGATAAAACCACGTATAATCAATAATGTGATTATCATTCATTGCGAAAAACAGAAAAACTGTTTTCGAAATCTATTATTTATTGTTTAATATACAAATGACAATTGTACAGCTTTCAAAATGATCTTTTACTGTATAAACTTCTATTGAAAATAACTACATGTAAAAGAAATATTGGGAACAAAACTTCATGTTTATTACAGCTTTGAACAAAAGATTAAATAAAAGTGGAATAAGTTATATGCAGTCTATCTTCTATATGTTAAGACGAGACTAATGTCAAGTTGATGCTGATGAGTTGGTGATTCTAAAATACGAAGTCTTTAAATATTTTTATAAATAAGGCCGTTGGTCACTACAGAATTATTAAGTTATTGACTACTACGATAGTTTTCACTGAAATAATATTACTAATGTATGCCTCTTTTAGACTGAGATTTCGAAAGAATTGAAACTTCCGGCCATTCAACCAGGCAACTAGGAAGCAGAACATCGTATGTACGTAAGTACACTAATTCAAGTTTCCATACATTGGCACAGAGGTGGAATTGTCAATTCAAATCCCATAAGAGCAGAGGTAGTAGATTAATGAGCAATGATCGCAAAGATTGAGAATCGAATACATGATTAAAGATACATAAACCAGTGAAACAAATTTAATGAGACAAAAAAGAAGTTATGAAGAATTTAGATTAGAATCTGAGAGAACACTAAAAATAAATGCACTTGCGCAATAGCAAATGATTCTAGGCCATGTCATTAAAAGTCTCCGACCACCGGTTACGATTATCTTACAGATCCTTAACGGGTAGTCTAAACCTATTAACATGGCTCAGTCCATTTGCTAATGACTTGATGAACTGTAGCCATGCTTGGTTTGACCGCCCACAGCTTTCTTCCAGCTAACTACTACATCAGACGACACCGCTCGTCGAGGTAGTCGGTGGTTGGGCATTCGTAATACATATTCCAACCACCTCAACTGATAAACATTCACTACTTCATCTTCGTTTGCCATCCCTACCTAGTACCCGTTTCGAAACGACAGCATTGCAGCGTATTAGACTCGTCCTCTGATTAGTAGACAGACATCTCACCTACGCCATGAATGACGCGAGTTCGCAAAAGCCAGCCGAGCCTTCTGTATCCGTGCTGAGATTTTGTCACACATCAGGTCATTAGCACTGATGAGACTCCCAAGATAAGTGAAGCGGTCAACGTGTTCAACTACTTTACTCCCTATCACTAGTTCAAGTGTCGATGCAAACAAAACTTGAAGCAACGTTTGGAGCGGAAGAACATGCTTGTATTGTTGCTCAGAGAGGTCAAAAAATTATTTTGTCAGCGTCTTCACCAAACAGAACTATATCATCGGCATATCCTAAGTCAACAAGCAATTTTCCAGGTATAAGACCAACTCCTTGAAAGTCAGACGATGACAGTGTCGTTTCTAAAAGCATCTCAATGACAGGGTTGGATAGGAACGGAGAACGTAGACATCCCTGACAAACAGCACTGGAGGTAGTGAACTTCCATGACAATTCTCTACAAGCGATGACTCGACCAGTACTGTTCGAGTAGAGGGGCTTGTATAAGGTTAATGTGATTCTTTGGTACTCCTTTCAATGACAAACACTTCCACAGAACCGCACAATGAATAAAGTCAAATGTCACCCTGAGCTTGAGGAACTAAACTATTGTAGGACATCTGAATGTGTATGTGTTATAGGACCTGACGAAGTATGAACACCTGATCTATTCATCTATGTCCACGTCTGAAACCACTATGATTTCCTCGAGTCTGCTCTTCAAAAGCTGTAGTTAGGTGCCAAATTTTTATTGAAGCCAATATTTTGGATACTATATTAGTCAAACTGATACCTCTGTGAACGTCACAAGAGACCTTGCCCTTTCTTATAGATTAGGAAAGTCAGTGATTGAGACCAGTCAGATGAAATTACGCTAATTTCCTAGATTCTATCTAAGATCTCAGTCAATCTCACTGCTAAAGCTCGACCATCATCTTTAAAATCTCAAGAGTTACTCTTCATCAGGACCTGCTGTTCTCCCTCCCTAGTGATTCCCTTTAACCTCTTCAACCTCATTAAGGACTTACATTTACTTGTCACTCAAGTTGACTGAACATCGTGGGTAACAGAAGTGTGGCTGAAGGTCAATTGAAATGTCCCCTAACGTGTTCGCTCCATCCTACTATGTAGGTGTCAAGCATGGCCACCAAGAATAAAGTGTATTCGTTACGTAAGCGCAACCACCGACTACTTAGACGAGCAGTGTCGTCTGATGTAGTATTAAGCTGAAAGAAAGCTGTGGGTGGTCAAACCAAGCATGGCTACAGTTCATCAAGTCACTAGCAATTGGACTTAACCATCTTAATAGATTTAGACTACCTTGTTAGGGTCTGCAAGATAATCGTAACAGGTGGTCGGACACTTTGAATGACATGGTTTAAAATCATTTGCAATAGTGCAAGTGTATCTATTCTTGATCTTCCTCCCAAATACTAAGCTTCTGATTTCTTCATGACTTTTGTTTTTGTACAAAATTTATTTCTCTGGTTTAAATTTTCTTGAATCTTATCTTTGATTCCTAATCATTTCCATTAACGTTGCGAATAACCGATTAATTGCCTAATCTATTCAGGCGCGTGCACAGAAAGTTTACAACTCGTCGCTTCACAAGGTATACGAAAGTACAATCCAAGTCATTACAGTGACTGGTAATATGCAATGAAATTGAAACTTGTTGAAACATTCCGAGCTGAGAATCCCATATTGTACTAAACACATAATAATGAATAAAGTCATTATTATTATCTATACAAATGAATAGTTGATTACAGAATCGGTTACATGATAATAATAATAAGTGTACTGCCATTACTGATTGCATCCATAAATTTCTTGACGAACACGACTGGCTGTGAGACCGGTTGAATCGCCTAATATGTCTTGTTGAATTTTCTTACGACCATACCATAATGGTAAATTAGCTCGTGCTTGATAATCAAAATCGAATATATCAGGTTCAAGCTGGCAAATACGATGATATACAAAGCATAAATCCCGAAATTCTGATATGGTCAGCTGTAAATTAGTAAAGTTTTCGGAGGAAATAAAAAGTGGAAGCATCTATTCATAATATAATTTACATGTAAATCATGAACTCAGTAATCATTGTATGTTGATGACGATTCACTAAATAGATGAAATATGGTATCATATCGAGACCTCAGAGTTGAAAGTCAACCTACCAAAACAATGGTCCACAGTTCTAGGTTGTTAAAAACACTGTTTTTTATCTATAAGTAGTTTAGTGACAAATATATGCATTACATATATTATAATTGAAACTTCTTCGTAACCTTCCAACTATACGAATAAAGAAATAAGTGACATAGTTGTTACATCAGAACACCTTACATTGTACTGTCAAACCACAAATGAATACATGGTAGTATTGTAATAAAATGCTGCATTTTGAGAAATGAATGCATACTAGACCCCCTAGTATTTTAATAAGGACAAGACAGAATTTATGTAGATTATATGTCAACGAAATTGTGATATATGACATACGGGCTGATATTTCTCCAACAGAAGAATCATCGTAGTCTGTAGAAGGTGACGCTAAATTTAAACAATTCACGCAAATGAAGTATTAGTATCATTATCACTAGCATCTTCGGGAACAAGTTGAAAATAAACCGATAATAATTAGTAGATCATTTAGGAAGCAGATGTTGAAGAGCATCTTTCTCAACGGGATCAAAATAGGTTTTGGTGGATTGGTATAATAAACGTAAACCATTTAAAACCAGAAGATATGTATACGCAATCAATATGAAGTCAAATAATTACCAAACTAACCTGTACACACTGTTTGGCTGGTTGTACACCAGCTTCTTTGAATAACTGAATAACCAGTTCAGGTCGATTGGAAGGGAACAATGTTTCAAGACACCGAATAATTTGCTTTTGTCTACATGAAAAAGAGTTCCGAAATCTAAATTACTATATAACCTATGAAACGATAAGATAATATTTTAGACCTAAGTAGTATTCACTCTTTGTCGAAGTGATACAGTGAAGTCGGTAATAAAATATCTTGAAACTGATACTAAAAAGATATTTCATTCTCTACAAAGTTGATCATAAACGTATTACTGCCTCTGAAGAAAAATGTTCAATAAAATGTCATATGGCAAGAAAATATGAGATTTTTACCTGAAGTGAAACGCTTGACGTACCAATTTTTCAACATATGGGTACGGTATGGGAATAAGCGGTTGCTTTAAAGGAATTAGACGAACAACACCGACATCTACTTTTGGAGGAGGAACAAAAGCAGTACCCGGAATCTCTTTCATGTATTTAACCTATTACATTTTAAAGAATAAAAATGAACATATTAACGTATGAAAATAATGCGGATGCAAATTACCAGGGAAATAAAACAGTCGGATATACTTTAAGCATACTTTAAATTCATAAAACTGTCCTGAGAATTAAGAAATATCAATAGTAAATCAATTAATCATAATAATAACTGTAAAAAAGATAATAAAGCATATGACTAGACAACGTTGTGTATGTTTGTATTTAAGACGATTAGTCCTATTGAGTTATAACTAATGACACCACCTGACTGGTGAAAATCTCGATAGAAAGAATGAGATTTAAATCTGTTACCAAACCAGTTGAAAGTCAGGTGTCTAGATAAATCGTTATCTATACACCAGGTAGCGCTC